GATGAGGGAAAAAAGGTGAGTGGTGCGTTGAGGTTTATGTGGAGTCAAAAAACGTTATCTATGGAGGCAAAGAAGGGAATGTATGAAAGTATAGTAGTACCAACACTCTTATATGGATGTGAAGCTTGGGTGGTAAATGCAGCAGCGAGGAGACGGTTGGAGGCAGTGGAGATGTCCTGTCTAAGGGCAATGTGGTGTAAATATTATGCAGAAAATTTGGAGTGTGGAAATTAGGAGAAGGTGTGGAGTTAATAAAAGCATTAGTCAGAGGGCAGAAGAGGGGTTGTTGAGGTGGTTTGGTCATTTAGAGAGAATGGATCAAAGTAGAATGACATGGAAAGCATATAAATCTATAGGGGAAGGAAAGAGGTGTAGGGGTCGTCCTCGAAAGGGTTGGAAAGAGGGGGTAAAGGAGGTTTTGTGGGTGAGGGGCTTGGACTTCCAGCAAGCGTGCATGAGCGTGTTAGATAGGAGTGAATGGAGACGAATGATACTTGGGACCTGACGATCTGTTGGAGTGTGAGCAGGGTAATATTTAGTGAAGGGATTCAGGGAAACCGGTTATTTTCATATAGTCGGACTTGAGTCCTGGAAATGGGAAGTACAATGCCTGCACTTTAAAGGAGGGGTTTGGGATATTGGCAGTTTGGAGGGATATGTTGTGTATCTCTATACGTATATGCTTCTAAGCTGTTGTATTCTGAGCACCTCTGCAAAAGCAGTGATAATGTGTGATTGTGGTGAAAGTGTTGAATGATGATGAAAGTATTTTCTTTTTGGGGATTTTCTTTCTTTTTTTTTTTTGGGTCACCCTGCCTCGGTGGGAGACGGCCGACTTGTTGAAAAAAAAAAAAAAAAAAAAAAATGATTGAGGTGTATAAATGGAGGACAGGAATAAATAAAGGGGATGTAAATAGTGTGCTGAAAATATCTAGCCTAGACAGGACTCGCAGCAATGGTTTTAAGTTGGAAAAATTCAGATTCAGGAAGGATATAGGAAAGTACTGGTTTGGTAATAGAGTTGTGGATGAGTGGAACAAACTCCCAAGTACAGTTATAGAGGCCAGAACGTTGTGTAGCTTTAAAAATAGGTTGGATAAATACTTGAGTGGATGTGGGTGGGTGTGAGTTGGACCTGATAGCTTGTGCTACCAGGTCGGTTGCCGTGTTCCTCCCTTAAGTCAATGTGACCTGACCTGACTAGGTTGGGTGCATTGGCTTAAGCCGGTAGGAGACTTGGACCTGCCTCGCATGGGCCAGTAGGCCTTCTGCAGTGTTCCTTCGTTCTTATGTTCTTATGTTCTTATAAAGGGAAAGGGGACAAAAGAGACTGTAAAAATTATAGAGGAATAAGTTTACTGAGTATACAGGAAAAGTGTACGGTAGGGTTATAATTGAAAGAATTAGAGGTAAGACAGAATGTAGGATTGCGGATGAGCAAGGAGGTTTCAGAGTGGGTAGGGGATGTGTAGATCAAGTGTTTACATTGAAGCATATATGTGAACAGTATTTAGATAAAGGTAGGGAAGTTTTTATTGCATTTATGGATTTAGGAAAGGCATATGATAGTGGATAGAGGAGCAATGTGGCAGATGTTGCAAGTATATGGAATAGGTGGTAAGTTATTAAATGCTGTAAAGAGTTTTTATGAGGATAGTGAGGCTCAGGTTAGGGTGTGTAGAAGAGAGGGAGACTACTTCCCAGTAAAAGTAGGTCTTAGACAGGGATGTGTAATGTCACCATGGTTGTTTAATATATTTATAGATGGGGTTGTAAAAGAAGTAAATGCTAGGGTGTTCGGGAGAGGGGTGGGATTAAATTTTGGGGAATCAAATTCGATATGGGAATTGACACAGTTACTTTTTGCTGATGATACTGTGCTGATGGGAGATTCTAAAGAAAAATTGCAAAGGTTAGTGGATGAGTTTGGGAAAGTGTGTAAAGGTAGAAAGTTGAAAGTGAACATAGGAATGAGTAAGGTGATGAGGGTGTCAAATGATTTAGATAAAGAAAAATGGATATCAAATTGGGGAGGAGGAGGATATGAAGAAGTGAATGTTTTCAGATACTTGGGAGTTGACGTGTCGGCGGATGGATTTATGAAGATGAGGTTAATCATAGAATTGATGAGGGAAAAAAGGTGAGTGGTGCGTTGAGGTATATGTGGAGTCAAAAAACGTTATCTATGGAGGCAAAAAAGGGAATGTATGGAAGTATAGTAGTACCAACACTCTTATATGGGTGTGAAGTTTGGGTGGTAATGCAGCAGCGAGGAGACGGAGGCAGTGGAGATGTCCTGTTTAAGGGCAATGTGTGGTGTAAATATTATGCAGAAAATTTGGAGTGTGGAAATTAGGAGAAGGTGGGAGTTAATAAAAGTATTAGTCAGAGGGCTGAAGAGGGGTTGTTGAGGTGGTTTTGGTCATTTAGAGAGAATGGATCAAAGTAGAATGACATGGAAAAGCGTATAAATCTATAGGGAAGGAAGGCGGGGTAGGGGTCGTCCTCGAAAGGGTTGGAGAGAGGGGTAAAGGAGGGTTTTGTGGGAAAGGGGGGCTTGGATTTCCCAGCAAGCGTGCGTGAGCGTGTTAGATAGGAGTGAATGGAGAGAAGGTACTTGGGACCTGACGATCTGTTGGAGTGTGAGCGGGGTAATATTTAGTGAGGGGTTTCAGGGAAACCGGGTTATTTTCATATATTTTGGACTTGAGTCCTGGAAATGGGAAGTACAGTGCCTGCACTTTAAAGGAGGGGTTTGCGATATTGGCAGTTTGGAGGGATATGTTGTGTATCTTTATATGTGTATGCTTCTAAACTGTTGTATTCTGAGCACCTCTGCAAAAACAGTGATAATGTGTGAGTGTGGTGAAAGTGTTGAATGATGATGAAAGTATTTTCTTTTTGGGGATTTTTTCTTTTTTGGGTCACCCTGCCTCGGTGGGAGATGGCCGACTTGTTGAAAAAAAAAAAAAACGTGTAGTCTGACCTAAGTATGAGTAGGAGTAGCAAGGCGTACCTGAAATCTTGCATGTTTATGAGAGAAAAAAGAACACCAGCAATCCTACCATCATGTAAAACAATTACAGGCTTTCGTTTTACACTCGCATTGCAGGACAGTAGTACCTCCCTGGGCGGTTGCTGTCTACCAACCTACTACCTGCATTGCAGATTAATATAGAAGTAAATTTTTGTTTTCTGAATCATTAGGATCTGTGTATTCATGAACAAATTAACAAATAAGGTGAGCTTTCTAGAATTTTCTAATAGGAAGAGAGGGTGTTCATTGGGGCAGTTGTCTGTTTAATCCAGATAAAGCTTGTTTTGCCATGATCTAAAGATTAATGGACAGTTCTGGAAGCAAGGTCATGTCAGATGTTTTCTAAGTTAATTTTCCATGTGATCATAACAAAGAGTGTTCTTGAAACTACAAACTTGTCCATTGTGTCCAGATATCTGGACAATAGGTTTTGTCTTGTTAAATCCAGAATCTCTTAAATTGAGGTCCATTAGATCAAGGTTGTACTCTAGTGTGGTAGAAATATGACCTCATCATCACAGAAAACGTATGGCAGTTGTACAGTCCATTCAGTATATTACAATCTACATTCACCATATCTTTTATGGTATGGATTTTATGTAATTTCTTAAAAGGTAATTAACTTTTTATAGATACCTTCAGTGCTGTTTTTAATTGGCCATCTGCCACCAAGGTAGAGTGACAGAAATATAGGAAACATTCACCATCAACTATTCAATAGTTATCTTGCCAGATGTGCTCAGGCATTACAATTTAAATGACTGAATTGTAACTCCCCCCCTCCCTCTCAGAATGCATGACTGTCACTTCTCACCTCCGGGACACAAGTCAGGTTTACTGATTTCCTGTTTCATTCATTGTTTCCTTGCTCACAATTCAACAGCATGTTAAATCTCTAAAACCATTTTTTTTTCTACTCTTCCCAATTTAACACACTTTCACACCCCAGGATGTTCCTTGAGACCCTCTAATCTTTCCAGGGAGGAGTTCTCTCTCTGTCATCCCAGATTTATACAGCCTCTGGGTCATCTTATTTTCTCTATCTTCTCTAAATGACCAAACCACCTCAACAGTACCTCCTCTGCACCTTGACTAGCTTCTTTCATAACCTTGCACAGTTTGTAATTTCTATTCTATAAATTCTTTGCATAATATTCTATTGAAAGGTAATTTCAACAATAGAATAGACAAGGGGAGGAAGGTAGACGATATGTCGAGGCATCTGTGGAAAGAAAAGGTTAACTATGGAGGCAAAATGGGAAATGTATCAGAATTTAGTGGTATGAACATTTTTACTTGTGGGTGTAGGACATGGGATTCAAACATGCAGCAAGGAAGAGGCTGGAGGCAATGGAGATGTCATGTTTGAGAGCAGTGTTTAGTGAATATTATGCAAAGAATTCAGAGGAGAAACTAGAGAGCTAAGGAGATGTGGTTTGGGCATATAGAGAGGATGGAGCAGTTTGGGATGACCAGATGGGTTTATAAATGTAGGTGGAAGGAGGGGTAGGGGTCATCCTAGGAAGGGTTCAAGAGTATAATAATGAAGGCTTGGGTTGATGTGCTTTTGGAGTTTGAGCAACAACATTTGTGAAGGAATCGAGTCCTGGTGGGAGGAAGTTCAGTTCTTGCCCTCTGAAGGAGACATGGGGATATTGCAGTTTGGAGGCTTATTTGAAATGTGGTCTGCAAGCTTCTGGTACAGTAGCTATTGAATGTAACTTTGAATGTATTTTCCTCTTTAGTTTCCCCCATTTTTAGGACATTTTTGTTTTATAAATAATTTTGAATTGGCTTTCTTTTAGCTGCATCCTTGTGGAATATCAAACAGAATGCTAACTACAAGGGAATTAATGAGCACCCTTTAGTTAATTTTTTAATGAAGTCAGGTTTTAGCACTGACAGATTTGATGTAGTTGTAAGTACATACAGTAGTGATAAGCAATATTATTTATTTCAACAGGTAGAAGCTATGGCTCAGGCAGCAGGTGTGACACCTCCAAGTCAGGGTGGTAACAATAGTGGACCACCAAATGCAGGTGGTGGAGGTAACAACAATAGTGGCAACAACCAAGGTCCAGGTAGTGGCAGTAATGGGCCGCCAAACCAAGAAAACGGTGAAAAGGAAGATGATGACGACGGACCTGGCAGTGGCTGGCAGGGACCACCGGGCCAGTGGGGACCTCCGGGTGTGGGTATGGGTCCACCTCCAGGTGGGCCACCATTTGGTATGCCTCCTGGTGGCCCTTTTCCTGGGGGTCCAGGTGGGCCTCCTCCTTATGGTGTACCTCCAGGACCACCAGGTATGCTTAAAATTTGTTGTCCTTATAGTTATATTCTTAATGTCTTAAGGAATTTTAGTAAAAATATATACAGTAGAACTTGTACAGCTTGATGCATAACTGCTACCCTTATGTGATCCACATGCTTGTGGTACAGGTTCCATCTAGGGTGGATAAGAGCGGGTGTGATAGTTGCACCAGAGGTTTATGTATAGTGCATAGGAGGTTACTTTCTAATTCAGTCACTGTGTACTTGTCTGTACAGGGGAATGAACTATCTAGGATTAGGACTTTTTCATTAATCCCTCAAGGAAGGTTCATTGATGCTGATGAGGAGCTCTTGGTTCAAGAAATTGAACCTGCTCTTCCCTTCCATGGCTTAAACTTGAATACCTCTTTTTTTCCTCAGGTGCTTTATGGCTCCTATGGGTTTAGTCCTTCCCCTCCCCTATCCCTCCCAGGAATATAATACTTCCATGATGTCATAGTAATGAAGCCACCTCTTAAATATATATATTTAAGATTGATCAATTCATAGATGACTGAAGTCCTTAACTAAACCATGAATGGGTGCTTGCTGTTATCACACGATTGATGTGCAATAGATTACAGTTGAAGATCACTTTGTATATCAAGAAAGTGTCAGGTATTAACTCCTCAGACATCATACTCCTTTATGCTTTTTGCCTTTAGTGATGTAAAATTATGTAAAAATTATTCATACCATATTTAAATTTATTACAGAAGTTTTATTTATTGCTTGTCAGGAGAGAGAGCTTTCCAACAAAATGCCTTAGTTTGAAAAAAATAAGTTGGGAGGCAGTTCACGAAGGCTAGTTCCCCATGATTACATTCATTACACATTTCTGTGCCATTAACAGGCAATCTCTACTCTTTATTTCTACAATTGTTAAATATGTTGATGATTAATAGTGTGAAAAAATGATTGAATGAGAAAGTTGTAATAATGTATGATATTGACTGGCACAACCATGACAGTTTCACTTGTGTGAAGCTTACAGGGCCACCATAATTTTTGCTGTATTTATCTGATCCTTCCATGCCACTGGGAGCAGGGTTTATGGCTCAAAACCATCATAGCCCCTGAAAAGCAATGACTGCAACTTTACACCTAATTATTGTATTCTGATACTTCATTTTTCTTGGCTGTTATTTTCTCAAATGCATTCATCTTTAACATATGTTTGGTGCAGGTGTGGTGAGCTGGTATTGTTTTATACAGTTTAGTAAGGAAATGTGGCTTATTTTTACCAGTGTTGACATGATAGTAGTGGCAGTTGATGCTATTGCACAATGCCTTGTGTGCCATCTCATGGTATCCCCATGACTGAGTGCAGCTCAGCACACGACTACCTGGGTCATGCCTAGTTCATTGACTGACACCAAGTTGCTCAAATCTTTCCTGTAGAATTCCAGGTCTTGGCATGCCTAGCATGTTTGACCAGATATTAAGTACCTAATAAAACAAAAGCCACTGACCGGGTGCACAGTACTTGATAAAACACAAAAGTCACTTGTGTTTATGTTCACCTTACTCATCAAATAACTGTGCTACCATGTTATCAGATATTCATCTACTTAATGATCAACTGCATTGGCCAGGAGACATGGGGTGTACACCTATTATATTTGTAGCAGAATTGTACAAGGCCATATTAACCCTCCACACACTGATATATTAAATAAGCATTAGTAACCAAAACTTAAGTATTTAAAAAAAAAAAAAAATGTTTTTAGCTGTTTTGGGAGGTCTAAGAAACCTAGTCCTGTTTCTTCTCTGTTCTTCAGTCAGTTGGTGCCATTTCTGTTTAAGCACTGCTGATTTTCAGGAATGCAACTCTTGCTTTAATTAGGATTAATAAGTTCTGTTAGGTGAGTGGCAGTGACATCCCACAAAAATGTGACAGTAAAATAGGGATTATGGAGATTATGTTGTATCCCAATGAAATAGTTTATATTCTATTTTTGATTATAGAAAATTAGATGACTGGTTTTAAACAGGAAATGGGGTGAGCTGTAGTGTTTGCACTTGCAAGTAACCCATGATGGCTGTTTTGGAAATATCATGTATAAAATATGTTTCTAGAGGATTGGCAAAAAAAAAAAAAAAAAAAAAAAAAAAAAAAAGTATGGTAAGATGCTACAGAGGAATCTTTTTTGGTACTATGTTTGACCACTTATGATGTACTTGATAAGCCAGTTTGTGGTAAAATATACCAATGAAGGCTACTCGACTGTCCCCCCCCCCCCCCAAATGCTAATGCGAATGATTGTAGCACTAGGCCATTTTCATGGTATTACATCCTGAATTTGCAGTGGGAGAATTTGCATTTCTTGGTCTTTTTTATTTGCAATTTAAACTTTTCATAATCTATAAACAAGATTTATCTTAAGTGCACTAATTCTTTGTAGTCCTAAATTGTTGCTGATTTTGAGTTTTTGATATGAATTATAGTTTTGGGGATGAATTAGGTCTTTTTTATGTATATATTTCTTCAGAGTTTCTCTGAAATATTAAAACCAAATTACATAAAATTTTTACATGCACCTCTAGAATATGCATTGTGCTGGTTTGATTTAATATCTTGCTACTGCTTTGATTATCTTTTTTATATTTCACTGTGTATGGCTTATTTTTTGGTTACCTAGATTTGGTTCAAGCAAAATTAAGGAGCGTTCAGCGTACAGATTATATTTATATATTCCTTATTTGATTAATTTGAAGGGATTCAGATTTTGTTGACATCGTGTGAAATTTTTCTTTTTAGGTTTTCATTTCCCTTTTGGTAAATTTAGGAACCTGGAATTTGTAATGAAGGTGTCTGTCAATGTTTCCATTTCATATTCTTGGCATACAGGTTTTTAGAGCATACCACTTATTGAATTGTTTATGGCTTGCAGGAAGTAGGTATAGCTAAATAAGTGATAGTCCGGTGCCCTATGTCACTAGTTAGGTAGTAGGTTGGTAGACAGCAACCACCCAGGGAGGTACTACCCTCCTGCCAGTGAGTGTGAAACGGAAACCTGAAATTGTTTTACACACTGGTAGGATTCCTGGTGTCTGTCTAATTATGCAAGATAATGGGTACATCTTGCTGCTTCTGCTTTCATTTGGGTCACATTACACAGGCATATACATTTATATGTATAATTCTTGTTCTTATTTATTTCCTTTTGTCTCCATGGGGAAGTGGAGAAGAATGCTTCCTCCATCAGCTGTTTTTTTCTTAAGAGGTACTAACATGCCATGAGCAAGAGGCTGGTAACCCTTTCTCCTGTATAAATTACTAAATGTAAAAATAAGAAAAACTATAAAGCTGGGATGTTTGAATGTTTTTGGATATAGTGCAGATGATAGAGAGGTGAATGTTATGAATGGAAAGCTAGATGTCCTAGCTCTAAGCAGAACAAAGGTGAAGGGGTAGGAAAGTTTTAGTGGAGAGTAATAAATGGGATTAGGTCACTTAAGATCTAAGTAGGAAGTAGTAATGTTGAAGGATCGGTTATAGCAGAAAAGAGGGAATGTAAATGTATAAATTCAAGGATTATGTGACTAAAATAAGAGTCAGATGCAAAAAGTAAGTGTTTATTCACCTGGGAAAGAGAGCAGTGTAGAGGAGAAAGAGTTTGGGAGATGTTAAACAAATCTTTAGGAAGTTGTGAACCAAACGAGAGAGTAATTGTGGTGGGAGAATAAGATGTAGATTGGCTATGAGGAGAATGCAACAGTGAGTAAGAGAGAGAGGTGAAAACTTATAAACCAGGGGGAGGAGGTAGTTAGGGTAAGATATAAGCAACTACTAGGAGAAAGATAGGCTTGTGAGAGTATAGGCAATGAGGTTGAAGAGGTATGGGGTAGATTTAAGAATACAGTGTTAGTGTGTAGTAGAAGTTAGTGGATATAGGAGGGTGAGGGGTGTGGGAGGGAAGAGGAGCGATTGGTGGAATGATGAGGTAAAGAGTAGTAAGAGAGAAAAAGTTAGCATATGAGAGGTTTCTCTAAGGAAGTGATATAAAGAGGGTGGAGTATATGGAGAGTGAAAGAGAGGTTAAGAGAGTGGTGAGGAAGTGTATAAGGAGAGCAAATGAGTGTGTGAGTTTGTCAAAAAATTTTCTGAGAAGAGGAAAAAGTTTTGGAGTGAGATTAATAGGTTGAGAGAGCCTATGAAATTAATAGATTCGACATGTATGTAGTAACAATAGGTAATATCTGCTAAAAGGAATAAAATATAATGGAAATGCATTGTGAGAGCCCCATGAGTATCATTGTTGGATCTCGATAAATTCTTAATGCTTGTTAATGACCTGCAAACAGCAGAAAGTACATATAGTCTTTGATGCCAAATAAGGAAAGGATGGAGGGAGGGGATAAAAGAGGTTTTGTGTGCAAGAGGCCTGGACATGCAGCAGGCATGTGTAAGCATGTTAGATAGGAGTGGATGGAGACAAATGGTTTTTGGGAACTGATGAGCTGTTGGAGTGTAGGAAGGGTAATTAATATTTTGTGAAGGGATTCAGGGAAACTGGTTAGCCAGACTTGAGACCTGGAGGTGGGAAGTACAATACCTGCACTTAAATAAGGAGGGGTTTAGGATATTGGCTGTTTTGAGTGATATCTAAATTGTCATATCCAGGCACCTTTGCAAAGACATTGATAGTATGTGAATGTGTTGAATGATGGTGAAAGTGTTTCTGTTTGGGTCACCCTGCCTCAGTGGGAGATGGCCAACGTGTTGGAAAAAAAAAAAAAAAGTGGATAGAATGTGGTTTAAAAACAAATGTTGACATCATTTGGGAACATTAGAATAAATTTTTAATGGAGTTAAATGATACTTAAAGCAAAGTTGTGAAGCCAAGTGAAATGAAATAGGAACCATTTAAGAATAGCCATTTCCCAGATCCTGCTCACACAAGCAAAAACTCAACAGGATAAAATCAGCTGTGAAGATGCAAAGATGAGAATATTATTCAAAACCTTAGACAAAGCCTTGTTTGAAATACATCGCCTTGTAATGAGAGTGAAATACATATATTTTAGAGCCCTTGTGTAGTAAAAGTGTCCAAAGGAATACCTAGGTGCCAGAGCTGAGGGGAATGTGCCATGAGAAAACAGTTTGAGAGAAATAATAGTCTAGAAGAACAAAATGGGATATATGACAAGGTTAACACTTATTATACTGGCTCTTTTCACCATCAGTGAAACATATAAGTGAACAGTATTTACATAAGGCTAAAGAGGTCTTTGTGGCATTTATGGATTTAGAAAAGGCGTATGACAGGGTGGATAGGGGGCAATGTGGCAGATGTTGCAGGTGTATAGTGTAGGAGGTAGGTTACTGAAAGCAGTGAAGAGTTTTTACGAGGATAGTGAAGCTCAAGTTAGAGTATGTAGGAAAGAGGGAAATTATTTCCCAGTAAAAGTAGGCCTTAGTACAAGGTATGTGTGATGTCACCGTTGTTGTTTAACATATTTATAGATGGGGTTGTAAGAGAAGTAAATGCGAGGGTCTTGCAAGAGGTTGGAGGTAAAGATAAAGATCGCACATAAAGTGGGAGTTGTCACAAGTTGCTCTTTTGCTGTTGACACTGTGCCTTGGGAGATTCTGAAGAGAAGTTGCAGAGATTGTGTGAATTTGGTGGTAGCAAAAGAAGAAAAATTAAAAGTGAATACAGAAAAGAGTAAGGTTATGAGGAAACAAAGAATAGGTGATGAAAGATTGGATATCAGATTGGAGGGAGAGATATGGAGGAGGTGAATGTATTCAGATATTTGGGAGTGGACGTGTCAGCGGATGGGTCTGTGAAAGATGAGGTGAATCATAGAATTGATGATGAGAAAGGGTGAGTGGTGCACTTAGGAGTCTATGGAGACAAAGAACTTTGTCCTTGGAGGCAAAGAGGGGAATGTATGAGAGTATAGTTTTACCAACGCTCTTATATGGGTGTGAAGCATGGGTGATGAATGTTGCAGCGAGGAGAAGGCTGGAGGCAGTGGAGATGTCATGTCTGAGGGCAGTGTGTGGTGTGAATATAATGCAGAGAATTCGTAGTTTGGAAGTTAGGAGGAGGTGCGGGATTACCAAAACTGTTGTCCAGAGGGCTGAGGAAGGGTTGTTGAGGTGGTTCGGACATGTAGAGAGAATGGAGCGAAACAGAATGACTTCAAGAGTGTATCAGTCTGTAGTGGAAGGAAGGCGGGTAGGGGTCGGCCTAGGAAAGGTTGGAGGGAGGGGGTAAAGGAGGTTTTGTGTGCGAGGGGCTTGGACTTCCAGCAGGCATGCGTGAGCGTGTTTGATAGGAGTGAATGGAGACAAGTGGTTTTTAATACTTGATGTGCTGTTGGAGTGTGATCAAAGTAACATTTATGAAGGGGTTCAGGGAAACCGGCAGGCCGGACTTGAGTCCTGGAGATGGGAAGTACAGTGCCTGCACTCTGAAGGAGGGGTGTTAATATTGCAGTTTAAAAACTGTAGTGTAAAGCACCCTTGTGGCAAGACAATGATGGAGTGAATGATCGTGAAAGTTTTTCTTTTTCGGGCCACCCTGCCTTGGTGGGAATCGGCCAGTGTGATAAAAAAAAAAAATAATAATAAGAAGTCAGTGACAAATGAGGCATTGATATCAGGAAATGTTTACAAATGAATAGTAAAACCTAATGAACTGGAGATTTTGGAAGCAGACTCCATACAGTGGCATAGAAGTAGATATGACGCGAATTTGATGTCAAGTTAAGAGGTACAACTAAGAAACAGAACTCAGCCACATGAACTGAAATAGGTATGGTAATTACAATAAAATTGACTTGTATATTTACTTGTATTTTAGTGGCGATTGGCTGTTGAATTAATTTTAATGGTAATATTTGTTCTGGGTTATAACTCAAATGCATATACATTTTTTAGGGTATAAGGTTTTGTAGCCCCCAGGTTCAAAATTTTGGGACACTGTTCATGACTAGTACATCAGTGCAGCCTTATTGGAATTGGATCAGATTTGGTACAGATACTTCTAACAATTTCTTTATAATCTTGCTTTATGGTAAGTGTTAGAAGCAATTTCTTTTCCATTATAATCTGGTGCTATCTCCATAATTATTTGGCCAAATCACTGAAAATATTGTGTGAGAGAACATTTTACCATCATGTGGATTGGAGATATGCAGGTAGAACTTACCATGGAAGAAAAGGAGTAGGATGTTAATGAAAAGCTAGTCAAGTTGTTTATATTGGATTGAGAGTACAAAATATTATAAACTAGTAATAAGAATTGTTTATCTAAGGCATTATTTTTTTTTTTTTTTTTGTAGGTAGTTTTATATGGACCAGGCTTTGGCTCAAGTGAGAAAATTCTTAATTGCAAATGTTATATCATGCTTTATTTACCCTGCTGGCTTCATAGGGATGATTTCTAGCTCTCAGGCTCACCTTTTAACTTAATCAGCTCAGTTGGTCTAGCTCTCATATTTATCGATCCACATTGTGGAGTCTGCTTCATTTCACTGTGCATACCTAATGGTTTACATATGTTGTCTATCTAATGTGTGGCTCATATAAGTGTTAAGCTTCCAGCTGTACCTCATTAAACCCTACAATATTAATCAGTCAATCGTCCATGCTTAAGAGTAATTTGTAGGTTGTGATTATGTCTCCTGATCTGCATTTCTCTAGAGTTGTGAGGGAAGTTCATGTAATCTATTCTCATAGCTCTTGTCTTTTGCTTCCGATACCAGTCTTATGGAATTAGTGTTTTTAGATGTGTCGATAATTTGTACCTGCCTCGTGTAGTGAATACATAACCTTCATCCTGGTTGGGTTATGTAGTGATGGGATTTTTGCAGTGATGCTTGAATTTTTTTAGTGAACACATTTTGTTTATGGTTAAGTAATTTAAAAAAAGGATTTTTAAGTTGCAAGTAAGACTTTTGTAAAAATACTATTCTGAAGACTGTTGTAATACAGACTTTTATTGGGTAGTTAAGGCTTTTAAGTAATGTATTATATTTTTGTAGGAGAGATAGAAATCTGAAGTTCAGGTAGGATTATTAGTTGAGGCAGGATTATTTGTGGAAATAGGGTTTATTGATGTGAGGATAACATATTTGTAGCTGAAATACTGCTGAGATATTGCTTATGTACTAGATAATCACACAAGGGTAATTATTACCAACAGGTGCATAAGGGAGACTTGTTCTCTTTACCTATGTGTTGGTACTAGTAACCTTGTGTAATTTACAGTTGTATACAAACAATATTAGATACTTCCACAAGGGGTTCTTATCACTTCATTGGTTTGAAGCTTCTGGGGATGAAACGTCTTATAAATGAAAGTTCTTTATACTTGCAATGTTTTTACAAAGAATTGTGCTTCTTTTGAGATTTTTAAAACTGGAACAATGGAATTTGGCAAAAAAATTTAGGGCTCAAAGTGGGCAAAATCTTTGATTCGTAAATATGCCGAGGTCACTACCTTTCCCAGAAGTGTAAATTCCCCTAATTTTTTCCACAAATTTTCGTATTTTTGGGTGTCTTCCCCCGGGGATTTTTTTTTTTCCCCGTTTTTTTGTGATCCCAGGAGACCCCTAGGATTTGGGATTGCGACGGTCAAGGGTTCAGCTAGATCATGCTAGAGACATGCAGGTGTAGGATTCAGCTGTAAAATCATACATTTGTGATCAGTGGGGCCTATGCTAACCTCCCTATGGTGTATAGAAATATACCTAGTTGGATGAATCTTCTTATAGCTGGCTGGTTGTGTGGTTAATGCACTGGTTATGTGGTAAGTTTCATCAGAATATAGTGGAATTAAAAAAAAAAAAAAAGTTAGGGTAATAAGAGTAGGCATACTTGAAATATTGCTTGCTGATGTGTTTCTGCCTGAAATGCCTCGGTTTAAAAAATTTCTAATATTTGATCATTTACTAGCTTTTGATAAAATGTCTGGATTGTCATGGTACTTATATGAATAAGAGCTAATAATATTGGCTTCATTATCTTAGATTGTTTAGGAAAACTATAAAATGCTAATGTTTGTCTTTTATTCAGAAGATTTATGTACTTTAGTGTTTTTTTTTTTTAGTTCACTATTGGGTAGACTACAAGTGTCTTATATTCCCTTTTTTTTTTCCCTCCCCTCACATTTAGGATTTGGTCCAGGGTTTGGCTCGGGTGAGACAAAGAAATTTTAGTTTTGTGGGTGTTATGTGAGGGTGTGTGCGCTATTGGATTTCTTTTCAAGACTGCATATTTCTTGACTGATGATTTTAATATCTTAATTAAGCCATTCCATATATGCAAAATTTGCTTTGTGTCAGTAATCACTCTCATTCAGTCTTGGACTCTTGATTGGAATTTCTGATTGCAAACCACATCCACTTTTGGTAGATTTGAGGTTAACCTTTTGGTTACTTAAACTTCATTTTGATCAGATAATTTGATGAGTGCAAACTGAAGTGTCTACTTATTTAATTATTTTTATTGGATTTATATAAAATCAGTTTAATGGAGTATCATGTGATCCTCTTCTCTGACAAACTGAAAGGTTAACTAATAATTGTTGTGTTTTGTAAAAAGCATTTTCTTACTGCTGTGTAGATAATAGAGAAGGAATTGTTTTAATTGTCTTTAAACCTTTCACTGTTCGTTATGTAGATCACCGTTATTGACACCAGGATCACTCGTGTAGATCTGTGTCTTGAGCTCAGCTCGTTGAGATAAGCTGAGATTGGTAAATTTTTGCCTAGATATTAGAGAATGGGTCTATGCTTATTAGTGTAAACAGTATAAAAAAAATCCTGCCATATGTGGTGCAAGATGGGAAAAGCAAAACTGAGCTTGTGTTTGGTTTGAAAATAGCAACTTTAAGGTGTTTTCTAGGACAGTTTTTATGGTTTTATTGGCTGTTTCTTTGTATCATTTGACAGAATGGAAGAGATAGATTTGGTTGGTTCCGGGACTGGAAGTAGCTTGAAATTGATCTCAAAGTATCAGAAATATTAAATTTTTGCTGATAATCCTGAGAATGGATAAGGCCCCTCAACACCCCCTCCATCTGTTTCATGTATTTTTATTTGGTCTAATTAAATTATTGGGATGCCATAAACCATGACCAATCATTCTTGGTTATAATTTATTATCCGAGAAATAAGGTAATATAGGAGAGGCTTGGGGATGTTATTAATGAACAAAAGAAATGTACAATTAGTGTCTACAGTGTTTATTGTGGACACTGTTTTAAAACTTTAAATTTTTAATTTTGTATAAAATTACTGAGCTGATCACTTTATAGGGCAGATTTTATAGTTGAATGGGCAGTCTCTTGTGCTCAGTTGATAGAACGGAAGGCTTACTAGTGAAATAGCTAATGGAATTTACTTAAAATACAAGTAAGTGAAAATACTGGTATGAAAATTGTTCCCATACCACTAAATTTGCATCTGTGTAATTCTGTAAGTTTGCAATCAAATTTCATATTTTTGGTGTCATTACCTTCAGAATAAGATTGTCTTCAATTTCAGAGGAACTTTTTTTTTTTTTTTTTTTTTTTTTTTAAATGTGGACACTAAGCACTTTTAATTTTGAGGCTTTAGACAGTGAAGGGTTTAAAGAATGGTGCTGTATTTTGAAGTTGGTGCTTTCTAATTGTAAATTAGATTAACAGCAATTGTTGAATGAATTGTTGTATAAATTAATATGGCAAGGGGCAAGGAGAGCAAAATCTGAATGTAAGGAACAAAGCTTAGTCTGATATTTTAGTGTTGATATTTATCATTTTCTCGTGGTTTTACTTGAGCTCATTCCTTTTAACTAGTTTATCAGACATCTCCTTGCCCTGGGGGTTGGCATCTTATCTAAGGACTGACAATGTTTCAAAGGTGTATATTCAAAATGTTATGAATGCTAATGATATCTATGCTTTTATAGTAATATTTCTGAGAATATTACTTGTTTGTGGTTGCTCTTATGAATTTTAATGCTTTCTAAATTTTCTTCTCCCTTTGAATAGCAATATGCTTTCTCTTGTTTTGTGCATATGTAAAATAACTAGTATTGTAGATGTATGTTTAGAATCCAGTTTTAGAAATTTATATAAAATAGGAACATTGGTGATCAATAATTTCATTAGTATATGGTATATACCATGTAATTTAAGAAGTTCCAATGAGAGAAGAAAACAAGGCAGAGGTTTACGGTAATGAAAGGATATAAAATAAAAGTTTTGGAAAAGGTCTTGTTAGAAGCAGATGTGCAATTGATGAAAGTAGTTTAAGGCAGTATTTATAAGAGTACATATATATTTTCCACAATGGTGTAGCCTACTAATTTTGATTAATAGACTGCAGAATAGATTGTAGTTATTTAACTGTCTAGGAATTGTCCATCTAATTGTATGCATGTATTCAGATGTTAAAATTGGATTAAAACAAAAATTATAGGCTAGTCTGAAAAACAAATGAAACATTTTGATACGAGGTTTGACTCGCATTCTTTAACTGAGTACAAGTTAAGGATAAATTTACACAGATTTAGGTAGGAATAGAAAAGGTGCTGTTGGAGTGTGAACAAGGTAATATTTATTGAGGGTTTCAGGGAAAACTGTTAGCCAGATTTGAGTCCTGGAAGTGGGAAGTACAGTGCCTGCACTCAGAAGGTGGGGTGTGGATATTTGCAGTTTGGAGGGGTATCTGGGCTGTGGTATTGGCATGCCTTTACGGCACTGATGAAGTGAGTGACTGTGAAAGCGTTTCTTCTATTTCAGGTCACCCTACCTCAGTGGGAGATGGCCAGTATGTAAAAAAAAAAAAAAAAAAAAAAAAGTGTGGGTAGTGTTCTTGCAAATTTTTAAAATTATGTAGTAATTTGGAGGGATTTATTTTAATTTTTTTTTATATACATACTTTTAACCTTATCAAAGTGTTCACATGTACAGCAATCTGAATTTATTCAGAAGAGTTGTGTTAGTAAAAAGTAATACAAGAAGTTCATAGAAATGGAAGCTGTATTTTGTAGCTTTTGAAAAGGCTTTTTAGGTTCTGAAAGGATATTTTACCCAATTCCTATTGTACACACTCCAGCAAGTTGAAATTGTGTGATTTGTGCTCTTGTACTGATTTTTGCAGGGCTTAAAACAAATTATCTGTTTACTTCAGGTTTGGTAATTGTGATGGGAAATCATTTTTTTCACCATATACACTGGACAGATCAGTGGCATCAGGCTCAGAAAAAGAATTGTCGGTGGGGGTTCATGTTGTGGTTAATGATTATTCCCTTTATACAATGTAAAGGTGGAAACATGCCGTGGTTTTCTTTAATCTGCTCTTACTGTCGTCTCCGTCTAAATGCTTATTTTCCTTTGCCTCCCCCTCTTATCTTATCTTCTCCCTAGTCTCCTCATCCCTTACCATCCCCTTGTCTTCCCCTCGTCACCCTCCTCCCCCTCGTCACCCTCCTCCCCCTCGTCATCCTATCCACGTCATATTCCTTGCCACGTCATATTCCTTGCCTCCCTCCTCAATTTATCTCCCCCTCCCCTCCTCCATATTTTTTTTTTGTCTAGTTTCCATTTGTGTCCTATCCCTATCTTCTCCAGTCATTGCTTGTCTTTTTTCCCCTCCCCCCATTTCCTCCCCTAGCTCTTTCCTCCTCCTCCTCTTCCCATCTGTTTCCCCTTTCCTGTTACCTTCTCCACTTCTCTCTTTTTCCTCTCCCAATTATCTTCTTTCCTCAATTTTTTCACACACCCTTCCTAATCTCCCCTCCCCCCCCTCATCTCTCTCTCTCTCTTCTCTCTCTCTCTTTTTTTTTTACCAGTTTGACAAGTTAAGTCTCTTTCTCTCTCTTTTTCTTTCTTTTCTCTCTCCTCTTCCCTCTCGTCCTCCCTCTCTCTTCTTTCTCTCTCTCTCTCTCTCTTCCTTTTCTCTTTCTTTTCTCTTCTCTCTCTCTCTCTTCTCTCCTCTTCTCTTTCTTTCTTCTTTCCTCTTTCTTCTCTCTCTTCTCTCTCTTCTTTCTCTCTTTCTTTTCTTTCTTTTCTCTTCTTCTTTCTCTTTTTTTTCTCTCTTCTCTTTTCTTTCTCTTTCTTCTTTCTTTCTCTCTTTCTTTCCCTTTCCTCTTTCTTTCTCTTTCTTTCTCTTTTCTTTCTCTTTCTCTCTTTCCTTCTCTCTCTCTTTCTTTCCCCTCTTTCTCTCTTTTCTTTCTCTCTCTCTCTCTTTCTTTCTCTCTTCTCTCTCTCTTTCTTTCTCTCTTTCTCTTTCTTTCTCTCTTTCTCTCTCTCTCTCTCTCTTCTCTCTTTCTCTTTTTCTTTCTTTCTCTCTTTTTCTCTTTCTCTCTCTTTCTCTCTTTCTCTCTTTCTCTCTCTCTCTTTCTCTCTCTCTCTCTCTTTCTCTCTCTCTCTCTTCTCTCTCTCTTTCTCTTCTCTTTCTCTCTCTCTCTCTCTTCTCTCTCTCTCTCTCTCTCTCTCTCTCTCTCTCTTTTTCTTTCTCTTTCTCTCTCTCTCTCTCTCTCTCTCTCTCTCTCTCTCTTCTCTCTCTCTCTCTCTCTCTCTCTCTCTCTCTCTCTCTCTCTCTCCCTTTCTCCCTTTCTCTCTTTCTCTCTCCCTTTCTCTCTTGCTCTCTCTCTTGCTCTCTCTCTTCTCTCTCTCTCTCTCTCTCTCTCTCTCCTTTTTTCCACTTTAGTTTTAAGAATATAGTGATTATTTCTTTGAATCCAAACTTTTGACACCCATCATTTCCAATATAGGAAACTTCATATATGTTGATTTTTAACATGATTCAACTGTGTGAATGTTTGAGTTTTATTGTTTAGGTTCTGTAATATTAAATGTAATACAGTGGTACCTCGACTTACAAGTGCCCCAACTTACGAGCTTTCAGAGTTATGAGCTGTCGCTCGGTCAATTTTTTGCATTGTGAGCCAAAATCCGAGTTACCAGTGAGCTTCAGATACGCTTCAGATATAATAAAATATAATAATCACTCTGGAGTGCTTTAAATGTCATATGCATTTGTATAGGTTTGGTAGCTAATGTGAGAGACGCCGAGAATGTAAACAAGGAGACGAACACACCAGCTAACCCCCCTACTGTGAACTTCTTTTGTACTTCCATTTTCCTCTGTTTTTCCTCTTACAAGTGCTGTTGAATTTCTTACTATTGTGCTCCCCATAGTACAAGA